TTCACCAAAATGAAAACTTGGTACTTCGTGATATTGCGGATTCACTTTGAGTCCTTAATTTCCCCCATCCAATGCAAGTGGAAGAGTTTCTTAACATACCAGAAGAGAATGTTGTTTACAAAGTTCCCAAAGATGATCAAGTTATTGAAGAACTCATATATCTCTTTAAAAATGCTGACAAGAAGAATACAGATTTAGATGAAATGGATGATAGTGATGAAATTTCTATTATTAGTCCTAGTGTTGCAATTGCTAGCTTAAAAACTATACGTACATTTTTACTCCAACAGGATAACGCAGAAGAGTATGTGAAGTTAGTGAGAAAGATCGAAAAATTTTTTAGGGTCAAAAAGATAAGCTTAATGTGACAAACCGACCTTAACACGTATTTTCGTTAAAAAGTTATTATAATTTCGCAAAATATGTTGCCTTTTGTGCATTGGAAAATAAGTGGTGGTTGTTGGGGTCGTCGAGACCAAAGTTGTCCTCTTCGTCATTTTCAGGTGGGTTTCTGGGGGTTGGGATTCCCGATATTATTTAGTTAAGGAAAGTTGAGTTTATTGAGATTAAATAAATACCTTGGAGTTTAAAAATATATAAAATTAGCTTAAATACATGAAGTTTAAATAAAATAAGTAATAAATTTAAAATTTTGTCGGATTTTTAATTTGTGTAATAAAATTTATTTTTCTATTGGCTACTCTATAAGTGCATATCCTTCATAAGTGCATGTGTATGGCTGGCCTGAGATGCGTGCACTTATGGAGGTGTTACTGTATTACCTGGCAGGAGGTGCCTTTTTACCAAATTTGAAACATATTTACCTTAGAAATTTTATACTCAAAGCCTTTGCTTTTGCTTCTAGCATGAAGCGTTTCAGCCAGGTACCAGAAAGACCTTTAATATCGTTTGTATCCGGTGAAAAATTAACGATCGCTTCAAATTTGAGGAAAGAAAATCAGGAAAAGACCAGTAAGAAGATTCCTTGCTGTTGAGGTAGATGACGATTTCTGCAAGAATTTTAATAACTGGTAGTTCTCCTGTATTATTTAATAATTTGTACTTAACTGTTTTGCCAGGATAATCGTTAGACATTGTATTTGAATGAGATCTCAAGGTTAGTAATGGAGTATACATATATTATATATAGGAAAATGATTGTCACACAGATTTAATCAGTTACGCGACTAGTAATCATGATAAATCACATTTGTTTTAAAAGTTACTATACATGTGTACAATGCAACACATTTTATGACAGATATGGGCAAATTATTTTTCATTGATATTCGAGAATACACATGTTTATTTATTATATTTTTTCTTACAGCTAATTTCAAAATTTACAGACCAACTATAATTATTCATTTTTTGCAATTTTTAGACACAGGTTTCATACACAGTCATATACACGTGATATCGCGATTTATATATAAACAAAAATGCATTTTTACACTTTCCTTTTTTAGTTTCTTGATACACAATTTGATCTAAATACATCAATAACGATACAAATATTTGTAACTTTGTAACCTTTTTATAATATGGATTTCCAAATATCTATAGATTATCGCTTAAACTCATGTCCTATTTGTTTAATATGTCTTGAATGCGGAAAATTTTATGGTTTTTCTTGTATTTGTAATTCCAAAGAAATATTTTGGAATAGGAAAAGTGAAGGATATAGTATTGATTTTCGGCATAAAGTACTTTTAACCTCTCATAAAAAATCTAAATTAGATCCTATTTTTATTACCTGGTTTTTCGAAAATATTTCTCCTCAAATTAAAATATTAAAAGATCAAAATGATGTTAATATTTGTCACAAATGTATAAACAAGCATGATTATTTTAAAAGTTTATATCAATATTACAGATTTCTATGATTTATATATAATATTAAAATTATTTATCCCATATTTCTAATTTATTGTTTAAAAAAAGCTAAAATAAAAAAAAAATGTAGATACTTCAGAACCTTTACATGAATTAATTGATTTAACAGATAATAAAATTAATAAGAAGTCTAATTTACATTCAATTAATTCAAGACCTTCTAAATAAGGTAACAAATTTTTTAATTTAATTCAATAATATTATTGACTAATTAATCTATTTTTACTCAAGTATATATTATATTAGTTTGCTTTAATCAATTTCATTTACCACGAAAAAAGTTAGATGGAGCTATAGCTATATCATTTATTCTTGATACTATTTTAAATTATGGACAGATTGAAGAAGAGATTTTATCATGCATTCAATCACATCAATTACCAGAATCTTAGAAAAAAATAAAAATTGGATTAATTTGTTATCAGATTTCTTCAACAGCAAAAGCAGATCATTATAATCTTATATCTAATGGAGCAATTGCTGCTTTTAAAACTGAAGCAGAAAGGAAAAACATATTCAATTATGTATTTATCAAGAAAAATCAGAAAAACATAAAATAATAACTTATAGAAGTACTGTTGAAGAATTAGATCCTTCAGAAATTATTTCACATAAAAAAATTTGTATAAGTCATTTATTTATTTAATTTTAATTGTAATTTATCAATTAAAGTATTTTAATTTTATATATTTTAGATATCTGAATTAAATTCTGAGATTATA